TAATATCTGACCTCCCACACACTGATACAAGAAAAACAAGATTTTTAACATTGCAAACCTTCTCAAGAGGATGAAAAAAATTAATAATCAAAGAATCCTTAATAACTGTTTTTAAGTTTGGGACATTTTTTCATCATATTGTGCTCATTTTTAGTGTATGAGTGGAGGTAAGTAAATAAAATGCTTTTAGATAACCAAAACTATTGTCATTACACATAAATGTCTATCAATGGCCAATAAATAGCATATATTTCAACAACATCCCAAAATAATGTCTCAAAATATGCTCATTTCTTTCATCCATTTAACAATCGATCTAATAAGCTCCAATAGAGGGTGGGACTAAAAATTAACAGAGGGGGGACTTTTTTGGCATCAGAGTATACTTCAAAAAATGCTGTATTAAAATATACATTTTTTTTTAACAAGGTACTATGCATGGATGTGCAGACAGTGTAGCATATCAGCACTGAAAATGAAATCAGGGAGCAGAGTTCAAATTCTGGGCTAGTCTGTTGTGATCACTTTCAAACAAATACCCTTGGGAAAGGCATGAAGCCTTCTGTTCCACCAGATATGAATTTGAACAGAAGGGTGGACTGAGCACTTCAGTCTAAAAAAGGAAAACTTTCAAAAACAAATATTTATTATTTAAAGAAAAAAAAGAAAAATTACAATCGCCATAAACTTTATTTTTCCTCCATTGAATTCTGATGAGAGAAATGAGAACTAGTCAGCAGTTTGTCTCCACACCCCCGACAATAAAAATATATTTTCTTTTTCAAATTGCCTTTTATAGTGATTGTAAATTCTCTTATTATTTCCTACCTTTTTTTTTTCTTTTAATAAATGTGTATTTTTATAACTAAATTCTGTAGCCCTAAAAGATCTTTAACTCCAAACATCGTCTTTAGAAGGCGATTCATAGAAAAAGAAATCTGTGGAGAGCTATGATCACCTGAACGGGCACCCCCACCAAATCTGTTATACACAAAAAGTCACATGTTTAAACTTTCAGCAAAGATTTATGGCCAGTTTTCAATGGTATCGGTAAATGAGCCATTATAAAATTAAACACTAACTGGAAGTAAAACTTTATTAGAAAAAAAAAAAAAAAAAAAAAACAATAGCAAAAACGTTTTTCTTCCAATAATTTAGATTAGAAGTAAAAAGAAAAAAGTTTTTTTGTTTTTTTTTTACAAAATATCTCAAAAATGGATGACACTGACAATGTTACAGGGAAGAAATGTAAATAAATCGATTCAAATCAATAAAATTTCTGTTTCAAATAAACACTTTGCTTAACTAGAGTAGAAATAGTAAAATAAAAATAATCCTTTAGCTTTTTTTAATTAAACCTAAAAATCTAAAATTTAAAATGAAAGCCTTTTTTGTTTTTAGTTTAAAAACAAAATTAAAAAAAAAACTTAGGTAGAGATTTTAGTGGGGGACACCTATTCAGTAACAAGTATTTTTTTTTTTTTTTTTTTATTCTGTAATAACAATTCTTTATGGTCTTGAAGAACTGTCTTCATAATTCAATTGTCATATAGAAACCAGTGACAAAAGCACATTGGTATGCGGCAGAATGAAACTGATTTCCTCTCTGCTAAAAGTGGACGGACAATGACTCGATTTTTAAATGTCAGTACAAAAAGCTATTATTTGCATTTTTTTTACAGAAAAAAAAAGTTCAGTGTAGCCATGGGGCCCGAGTGTCTTCGTATAATTTGGTGAGAAGGTCAAGTTCCTGAAGTTACTCTCGGTAAATTTTTCAACGTCAGAAATTTTTTTTTTATGAAATTTCCGAAATACATACTTTATTGTATTGTTAAGTTAAACGTTTCAAATGAATTCTGCATACCAAACACTGATTTATCTCCCCTTATATAACATTTTTTTAAGTAGTAGACTCATATTGTGAGTTATCCTTTACCGTTTGGAACCGAGGCATATGAATTTAAGTTTTTACGCAAGGAAAATAGCTGAAATAATTGAATCAATTACATTTTATTTCGTTTTTATTATTATTATTGCGACTTTTCAAATTAAAATACGAGTCTAAAATTAAATCAGTGTTTTGGTAGGCAGGATTTGTTTGAAACGTTGAATTTAACACTAACCTATTTTTGTCAATAAACAGGCTTGCTTTGTTGGTAAAAAGATTGTACACACAGTATCACTGGGTAAACAAAGGTTATTTTTTCCTTCAGAATTAATACGTTTATTTTTTTAGTCAATAAAAAAAGGCCGTTCTCCGTTAGCGTTAAAATGAACATAAAAAAGACAAAAACAGTTCACGGTGTAAAATTCTTATCACCATTTTCTTCAGCAATCGGAAGAATTTTTAAGTGGCCCAAAGATTTTTTTTTTTTTTTTAGAATGTGGTGCCATCATCCAGGAATGTTGTGTAAAGGATTGGCATTTAGAATTGTTTCGACAACAACTTGTCTCTCTCTCTCATATATAAAAGCGACTGAATAGATCAAAGTGGCCAGTGATGATGTTGACCCAGGTTAACTTTTTAAACCAATTCCAATCTGGTTAATGCTTTTACCATAACACAGACTAAAAAACTCAAATCAATAAGAAAAGAAATCCCAGAAAAGAAAAGCGTACAAGTGACAGTTTTATCATAAATTAAGAAACCAATTTGGAAAGTGCTTCACAACTAGACACGAATTATAAGGGAATTTCCGAACACTGAAGAAAAAAAAAAAAAAATTATCTACTGGAATTTGATATCCAGAATTTTGTTTTTAATTTATGCCATAAAAATGTTTCTAAATGATACGTCTGAAGTTTGAAAAAAAAGTGTAGTCCTGTCGATCATAAATAATTTTTAAATTATAAATAAATAAATAATTTAATATTTTAAATTATAATGTAAAATAATTCTTGATATAAAACTTATTGCTTAGTTTGTTGCTGCTACAAAAATGTTTTGAAAACGAGGAAAGAAAAAAAAAAAAAAAAAAAGAGGAAAAATATATAAAAATCCATTCCTTTTTTTTTTCTACTTTCACATTAGAAATTTAAACACACAAGAAAATTAATGCAAAAATAAATAAAAATAACGTTCATTCATTTAAAAGGGAAATTGTTGTTAACTTTGAATTTAAAAAAAAAAAAAAAAAAAGTTTAAATGATTCCAGTTTGTGAAAAGAAATATTTTTATATTAATTGTTTACGGAAGTGGGTTCTAATATTTTTCATACCAAAGAAACTGAAAGCAAAGGATTGGGGAAAACAAGCCCATCTCCAGTAGTTGTTTGTTTCTTCTTTTTTTCTTTTTTAAAGGAAGGTGGTGGGGAGGGGGTCAAAAGTTTCAAAAGTTTAAAATTATTGATTCTTAACTTCAAATAGTTTATTTAGGGATTGGACAACCAAAAAAATATGTTGTGACCAAATTAGAAAATTAAAACTGTTCTTTTGTTGGCATTATTCAATTATTGTGAATAACATAACAATGCTGGTCCTACTAATAATTTAGTTTTTTTTTTTTTTTTTTTTTTACACACCTACCAACCGCAAAACTTGCATCATTTTATGATTTGTGACATTTAAACTGAACGTCTGGAAACTAAGAAAATTAGCATAAAAAGGGGTTTTCAATTTTATTTTAATACAAATTCATAAGCCAAAAACAACAGGATTTAAATTAAAAATGATTTGGAAATGAAATCTGTGGCGATTTGATACCAAAACCGCTGTGTTTTTTTTTTTTGTTTGAGTCTGATTTCACAAACTCTACAAATACAAAATACACTATTTTTTTTTTTTGTATCACAGATGCCAAGCGATTTGCGGGCCCGGGGGGGTGCAAAAGTAATTACACTAAAAATGCTTGTTTACAATAACAAGTTTAGTAATTATTCCTTAAAAATTCATTTAAAAAAAAAAAAAAAAAAAAAAAGTGAAATCCGAAGTGGCAAATTTACAATTTTGAAAATCAAGTGGCAAGTAGTAAAAACGTAAACATTGTGTGAAAGAAGTTATTCGTCAATAAGTTGATTTCCCAATCGCATAGAATTTTATGAAATTTTTACCTTATTAATTCTTTTAAAAGAAAAAGACATTCTTTTTTATAATTGTAAATATATCATCCCCAGGCAAAGAAAAATTAAAAAAAAAAAAATCTTCATCAAATAACAAAAAAAACCACCTGATTGTTTATTTGAAGTAAAGTAACTTTTTTTTTTGAAGTGTCTCTCTTGGCTGGTGCTTAAATTCTTAACTCTTGAAAATTTTTAACGGAATAATTTAGTAAAACTGGGCCAAAAAAATTATCCAGATTTATTAGTCGTTTTTATGATAACAAAAATAAAATTACTTTTTATTTTAAGTGAAACTATGAGAAAAAAAAAACATTTTTAAAATTACTAATTCTCTATGTTTGGTAATGAATTTTTGTCTAAATTCATAAGTTTTAAAAAGTTTTTAAAAATTAGTAAAAGATAAAATATTTTCAAATCTATAGTCAGACTTTAATTAGCAATCATTTTCGGTATCAAAAGTAAAATAAATCATTTTCAGAAATGAAAATGATATTTTTTACAATTTTGAATTGTTTAAAAACTGGCTTCTTTTTTTTTACAGATAAAAAACTAAGATTGTAAAACTGGTTTCTTTATTTAAAATAAAAAAATTATCTATTTTTGCGACGTGGAAAAATAAAAGTGTAATAAAGACTTTAAAAAGTATTTGTCATTTTTTTAAAAATATGATAAATAAAAATTTGGTAATAAAAACATTTTTTTCAGCTAGAAGTTTGATCACAGAAGTTTATTTTTATTTCCATTATTTTTTGTCAACAGTTGTAAAAAACAAATACGTTTCAAATTAGTAACTTAAGTAAACATTTAAAAAAAAAACAAAAAAAACAAGAGGTAGGTAACTTATGTAGCCCCCTTTTAAATATACTAATACTGCAGTTTTGACAAGAAAAAGTAAGATAAAGATGAGTATGGTGTGTTTTATATACTTTTTTCTTTACTTACCTCAATGACAAACTGAAGCTCTGCATCCATACTAGCTACTTGGACGGGATAAGTTTTCGACCCTGACGAAACAGATGCCACTTTCTTCTTAATTAAAGACATCTTGAATGAGATTTGTTTTTGTTTTTTAAGAAATAAATCAAATAAAATATAATATCCTTATCAAATTAGGACAGGGTTTATTCGGTAATTCGTGTACTTTTTTTTAGTTTTAAAACTTTTATCACCGTTGTTGCTTCAAGGGCCACATACAGGTCTATAAAGTTTTTTTGTTTGTTGTCTTCTTTTTTTCTTTTTTTTTGATTCTTAGACTCTTTATACTTTCTTCTGAAAACTAGCTTAAATGAAGATAAATTCAAAACTTACATTTAAAAAATGTATATATATATATATATATATATATATAAAACGTTCCCTTAAAAAAAATCTAAAACGTCAAACTTTATATAAAGTTTATAAAAGTTAAAAACTTGACGGAAACTGGCTCATGAAAATCGTTAACCATGCGGTGTGAAAACCTAACAAAACAATCGTCCAGTTTAAATGGGACATTGAATAGCGGACGTAGAGGTGATGGACATTCGTCGTGTGGCCGGTAATATAAACACGGCACCAACGATGGACAATCTAACAGGAAGAGTTAAATATTTGTTCTGTAATTTCGTCTTCATTCCTATTTCATGTAGTGGAACTTGAGCGCCATCTATTTGTGAACCAAAGAGTAATCAATTTCAAAGCAAGGAAGATAACTCTAGTGTAAACATTTAACTTTATTGCTGCCCCCTGGTGGTTAATCTTATTGACAGGGGCAGATAACACAGCCTTAACTTGTCATTTGGCGCCATTTCAGGCTCTAGCTGATGGCGTGAAGTTGATGAGAACTATCTAACAAAGTTTGTTGTTTGCATTTGTTTTTCTTACTTTTTTCCTCTTTCAACTACACGACATAGAAGTCGCAATGAATAACACATTGACATCTGGTGCCCTTCAGGTATGACTAATTTAAATTCTATTGTTGCATTACTATTTTTTTTTTTTTGTGTTGTTTCCTTCTTGAAAAGTTGTTAATTAAGAATTAAAAATATATATATATTGATGTTTTCTGTCATCACTGTACCATAAAAATGACTATATTCATGGCTTGTTAAAGTTCGAAATAAATAATAGTTTAATTTTCTTGATTTTTATGACTTCGATTTACTTTTTTATGAACGCTCGTTACTTAAGGTCGAAATTAAAAAAAGAAAAAATCTCCCGCGCTCAAAAACTTCAAATCTAACTTTCAGTATTTTTGTTTATAATTAGAAAATAAAGTTGATTAGATGTTTAGCGTGACACAAGATTATGTTTCGCCAATTTTTAAGTGGGTTTATTTTTAGTAATTTCGAAATTTTGACTAATACAGAAAAATCATTTTTAAAACAAAGTGATTTCGTAATTTCTTTTTTAACATCGTTTTTTTTTTTTTATTTTCTTTACGTAATATTTGTCTTTGGCGTCTAAATTAAAATTTTAAATCGGTTGAATTTCTAATTTTGTTTGTATATTATTACTATTAATAAATATCTTTAAAATATAATTAAAAAACTTTTTTTTTTACCGTTTCCAAAAAGCCTTCTCCAAACAACGATTTTGTGAACCTAGACATGGAAGGTAGCACTAAAAATAAGTTATTTATTAATAAGTACAAGAAATTATTTGGAACCAATTGACACTTGTTAAAGCTCATTGGGCCAGATTCAAAGTAAAAAAAAAAAAAACAAAAAACTCTATTTCAACGTGCATCAATGACAAGCTTAAACTAAAAACACAATAATGCCATAAAAGAACACCCAAAGTTCAAAGCCATAGAGAAGGTTTGCAAAAAAAAATTATATCGGTACTATACTAACAATTGAATTATCCTCCATTGACACCTCGCATAATTCAAAATCCCTTTAATTAAATAAAAATTCCAATTTACTATTTGCGAAAGTTTTAAACACTTGGTACTATAAGGCCACGTATATTCGGCACCCGTGGACTAAACTTATCACCCTGGTAATGATTTGGAAGACGCGCACCTTATTCGGATATTATGTTTTTTATTTTAGCGTTTCAAACAATACTGATACTGAATTACCTCCCTTACATTTTTAAAACTCGCTTCGTATTTTGAGCCCTCAATGTTTATTATGCTAAAGACAAAATAAAACAAAAAGTAGCGTGAATCTACGACTCCCACCTTCCAAAAAAATGTCATCCTTGTTAAGGATTCTTCTTGTTTTTTATCAGAAGAAATCTACGTAAAGGGGAAAATGTCCGTATAATTTTTTTTTTTTTTTTTTTAAGATTATTTTTTGCTTGCTTTCCTTAGTTTATTGAATAAAAAGAAAGAAATATCTTCCTATGTAATTTATAAAATTTGAAATCTATTCGTACATTTTTTTTTTCAAGGGGAATATAGTTTTCACTTACAGAAGAAAAAATTAAATTATCTCTCATTTCAAAAGCTATTTTAATTTTTTTTTTATTTCTAATGGGGTTTTCCAATCTAAAGGAGAACTTCGAGTATGAGGTTAGGTATATAAAAATAAACATTTATCTCAAGAAGGAAAATCAATGTCTAGCCTACAAAAAATAACAATTTCGAATGTGCAGGTTAAAAAAAAGATTTAATAAAATAATTAAAAATATGTGTGAACAGCTGAACACTTTGAAGATAAAATTGTTTTTATCAAGTTTGGGGCCTTTTTTTTTTTTTCTTCATCATGTTGCACTCTTTTTTAGCAGAATAGTGGAGGTACTTCTTAATTCTTGTCTGAATCAACTCAACAACTGAATGTATTAGGCCAGAACAAAAGTTTGTAGCACCTTTAAGCAAATTTCAAAGACAATAATTAGATATTTGTAAAAAGATTTATTTAACCATATAATATATTCATTCCTCTACCTTTCACCTTCTCTAAGGCAACTTTCATATTTCCAAAATTTGCCATCTTTCTCCTGTTCAGAGAATTTTGTAGGGATTGAAATAAACGGTAATCTGAAGGTAAATAGGACTTATAGTGTAAGACATCTGTGACAAGATATTTCTGTCATCTGTTGGTTTGTCATGATGGAAGACAGCACCATTTTAACAGGCAAATTCTAGACGTTTTCATTGATTACTACCTTTATTCAGTACTATGTCTGAATTCAATATTTGAATTTGAAGAAAGAGCTTGTAATATACAATGTCTTGTATATATTGTAAGTTTTAAAAATGTTGGAGGTAATTCAGGGTCTTGTTTGAAATGCTAAAGTAAACTAAAAAATACCTGAGTAAGGAGCGTGTCTTTCACTGGATACATGGAATTTTTTGCATTAAATCTGGTGGTGCCTAAACCTTGTAAGGATTCATATATCTTAGTATTTTCAAATGCTTTACAACAATCATGAGATATGAGGATTATCTCTGATGGTCCGTCAGAGAGCCAAGCTCAAAATTCAGTTTGGTTCATTGTATTGACATATACTTGGAAAAGATAAGAATTCAAATTTTTTTCTCCTCAGCTATGGGTATGTTGTTAAATCATTATCTCCCCCTCCCCCAACTTCTTACAAACTAAAAATATTTTCCAGCTTTAAATATCCTGCAAAGGCTGATAACAACAAAGTTGCAATATGAATGAGCTCTGGTAAAAACATGCTATGATAACAGTAAAATTGCAATATGAGCACTGGTAAAAAATGATGCTGAAGACATTAGGTTTATAATACCCAGGAATCCATACTGAAATTCATACCCAGATGTCCTCAAGGATACATGGCACAGTGGATAAAGGCGTTGGTTAGATCCAGTGACAGGACCCAAAGAGTGTGAGTTCAATACCCGGTTAAGGCAGCGGAGAACTTTCAGAGGGAAATTAGCAGGCGATAACTGATAACTGACATCCATCAAAAACATCGCACATGGAACTAGAACAGTCTAAACCCAGTGAGCGAAACGAAATGGCTGAGACGTTGTGATAAATATGGCAACAAAGATGAGGACAATAGTCCGAATAATGTAAATAATGAACAAAGGGTTGATAAGCTGTAGGAAACAAATCAATTTTATGTTCCATGTTGTGTTTTCTGTATTATTTAAAATTTGGTTATCGTCACCGGCTGCGAAACTGCTGGTACTTTCTGAGCCTTTTCTGTATCCGAACCTAATGAAATACTCATTTATGACGCATTTCCACAGATAGCATTTTGTCTTTTGCTGTTTCTTTCTTCAAAATAAAGTGACATCGAATGATTCATTTTCCTCCATTTTTTACTTCAAATATGATAATTTTAAACTCTACAATCCACACTTGAGTTGTATAGGAAAATATATTAAAATGACATCTTTCAAAGTGTGTGTGTGTGTGTGTGTATATATATATATATATATATATATATATATATATATATATATATATATATATATATATATAATGTGTTTGGGGGCTGATGAACCTTTTTAATTGCTGATGTTTCTAGGCCCACCCCCACCTGGAGTGGTAGCACCTGTGAGGGTCATTTCCCAAGGGTATTGGCATGTAAGTGATTGCAATGGATTTGACTGGAATTTGAACTCTGCTCTCTGATTTCTCAATCCAAGCTGCGATCCATTACTCCGCTGTTATATATGCAAAATAAATCTTATATTATACAATTTTTATTTCTGCTCTCTTTTACATCCTATAAAAGATTATATTTCAACTTGTTATAAAGTAGTTTCATTTTTGTTCTGTATTTATTTATTTGCAAAGATATATAAAGTCTTACATTATAGCATTTTTGTTTTTATTCTGTATTCTTTCAACAATTTTGTCTCTAATTCTGTTAAAAAATCTTACTTATTATAAAACACAGATTGTGTGTGCGTGTGTCTCTACGTTTATATATTGGATTGGATTTCCTACATTTTTCAACCGATTTCAATAAAACTTCACAGGACTACATAAAATTACCTTCGGTGGTTCTGACAGCACCAAAAATTGGAAAAACACAATTGTTTTTGCACGAAATCAATTTGAAAACACGATTAAGAGGCATTAATGAAAGAGGGACAACTCATATCGATACTTATTAATATCGAGTTATACTTA